CCACCCTTCTCTCTTTTTCTGTCTCGAGGACCGTACTGCCTCCATCTTCAGGGTCGCAAAATGTAAGATAAGCAAACGACCTAGAAGATGCACGTAGCAAGTTGCTACCTATTGGTTTATTCTTGGACACGGAAGATAGAGAAAGAAGTTATACCAGACCACACGGCTTTACCTCCCAGAAGATACCGAGAACCGCAAATCCAAGGGAGGAAGCAGAATGTTTCCACCGCTCAAGTGGATTGCAGGAAGATTAAGGGAGGTGACGACAAATGTCACGTGCTCCCACCCGCGGGCCGGGGAACCGGGTCGCGAGTGGCGGAGTCACATAGCGCTGCGTGCGGTTGGATTCAGAGTCCTCTCTCTGCTCACGTGCGGAGACGCTGAACTAACTTCATCCTCCGTCCAGCAAAAGACATGATGACGTGCTGTATCTGAAATATCTTAGAGGGTGCGTTATAATCAGAGAGTGATTTCGGTTTCTAGACATCACCAGAAATTGACCATAGTCCATTTTAAACATTTAGTACTGAGCCGATCACAGTGGCCGCGCGGTGTAAGACATGAACTGTCTTCTCTTGCTCGAACGCTGGGATCGTGGACTCGAATCCCACTCAAAGCATGGATGTCTGTGTGTGTTTATATGTGCTTTCGTTCTTCTGTATACAGGTAGCGACCTTGCGATGTGCTGATCCCCTGTCCAAGGAGCCCTACCGACTCTGTATAAGATTATGAAATAGAAAAAGTTGGCCGAAGTTCAAAAAGAGGACTGTAGAACCATGGATGGACGAATTCAATATCCTCTTAATTTCCTCCTGAATCAAATTTTGGTTTGTTACTGCCGTTCCCAAATTTTTTAACTGTGCCACATTGCGCGTGTCGCGGGTCACACTCTTAATGGTATAGTGCTTAATTAAGCAATGACAGAAGTCGTCTCTCGCTTGATGTAGGCCACTCTTGCAGTGGCAGTTTTGAGGCTGCGCAAGGAGTTGTGCTGCTCTTGCACTTCAGAGGACCTGTCGATACCGACGTGTGGCCCATACTAGCTAAGTTCTGTGTACCTGGGTCCCGACGTTGCGATTGGCCTGCCTCTCTGCTACTGACAGCTCACCAATTGCTGCAAAATACTGCGGTAACCGGGTCGTTCCGACCTGCAGACTGTGGCAAACTTTTCGTAATTAGTATTTCTTCTTCTCTTCTTCGGAGAAAGAAAATATGTAAGTTCTTTTTCAAACACTGCCCCGTATACTTTCCGAGCTTTTCACGGCTTACTGGGTTGTGGAACCGTGTAACTTTGTACGAAGATATCCATGTTTCGGAAGAACATAGTGCTTCCATGTTCATGATCGAAGTGGGAACAGGCGTTTCTCGGGGCGCCATACCATCATCTTCAATTCTGAATTTAATTCCGATAGTTCAGATAAACTTGATGTGGACATCGATGTTTTGGAGGAACATAATGCCTCAGGCCGCGCCATAGCTCAAGCGGTTAGTTGCTGGCTTCCCATCGCGGCGGCCCGGGTTCGATCCTGGGTCTGGTCAAGTGTGATTTGTGGTGGACAAAGTGACGCTGGGGCAGGTTTCCTCCGAGTACTTCGTTTTCCCCTGCCAATCTTCATTCCACCAATTGCTCCACAACCACCCTCACCTATAATCTGGGGCTGGTACAATAGGCCAGAAGTGGCCGCAGTCCAAGGGACTTAGTCCCACCGCACTAGCAGTAAAAAAAAAACAATGCCTCAATTTTCAGACGTTTTTGAGGTATATAATTCCTGCATCTTCAGGATTGAAGTGAATACTGATGTTTCGGAGGAAATGTTGACTCCATCGTCACGGTTTAATATTGCGGGATGTTCCTCCGAAACGTCGACACTCCCATACAAAACTGCACGACATAAAAAGCAAGAAGACCACAATCTTATTTGCTTCAATGGAAAGAATTGTAGTTCTCAAGGCGGTAAATATGAAGGATATCATCTTCTGGGTTATAAAGCCCAGTAGTTTGGTATAAGTTCACCGACGTTTCAGAGGAACGTATTACTTCCATCTTCAGAGCCGAAGAGACGGCTCTATTTGCTGCTTGCTTCTTTCTTGTTGCTTTCTTCGCTTACTCTTTGATCCTGAAGATAGATTCAGTAGGTTCTTTCGAAACGTCTGTGAACTTGTACCGTACTCCGGTCATCACATCCCACTACCTCAGTATGAGGATATTCGAGCTCGCAAGAATGATCCCCTTAAATTTACACTTTAGTAGTCGGTTTTTCTGAAGAAGGAAGCGATAATAACACAGCTCTTTTCATAAAATTTTTAGTGTAATTTTTTTTTATTACACAGCTAAAAGGTGGCTTCTTGGAGCTATTCCGAAGTCATTGAAAGCTTAAAGAGGCATTATTGTGCTGAGGTTCCTTTCTTCGACTTATTCAGATGGAAATACTGGGGAGCAGAAGAGGTTACGTCAGAAACCGCAACCGCCATTGTTCACGTTTAGACGCCTTGAGTGATGGGACGCCGGACGGGGCTCTGTCTTGTCTATTTAAAGCAACGACGAAAGGGGATAAATGGCCTGAAATAACCTCCCTTATTTGAGCCATCGCCTGGGATGTCAAAGCACACCCACACTGATGTGTAAATGGCTATCCGTGATATGGATAAAGCACAGATCGGTAGGTCCGCTTGTATTCCCTAGGGCAGGGATTGCCAACAGGATACCCACGGGCGCCCTAATGCCCTAAGAACTGTTCGTGGGTGTCTTCAAAATTTCAAAATGGAAAGTAAATGTGTCCCTGTGCTTAATTAATTAAGCACTATGCCATGAATACATATTGGAGGGGGAGTGAAGGTACAGCTCCACCATTTCTAACCTCGGCACTAGATGAGAGATGATTAGGGACCATTTGGTGGAATAATAATTGGCACGGAAACGGAACTTCTCGGAGGAAACTTGCCCCAATGTCATTTTGTCCACCACAAATCCCACATGACCTGACCTGGGTTCGAACCCGGGCCGCCGCGGTAGGAAAGCAGCGAAAAACCGCCTGAGCTATGCCACTGTCTCATTATCCCTCTTACAGCTCCTTTGGAAATCATTCTGTCAGGTTCTGTCGCTTTCAAAAAGCATATCTCACACAAAGAAATATATGGACCAGGCTGATGAAATTAAATTTCTGGACATATAACAACTTAAAGGACATATACACGTATTTTGATTTGGAAACGAGTCAAGGACGACCAGGAAGGAGTTGGGCTGTTATTCTGCATAATTAAAGTTCTCTTTAATCCTGGCCACCACCGAAATCCCCCCTTTTAAACATTAATAGATGGGTAGGGTGACGTCACAAGCTGATTAAAGCGTGTGTCTCGCGGACGCGGGCGGACAGTGTTGGCACCACCTCCTCCATGTTTATCCATAAGCAAGTGCGCGTCCCAAGCCACATTCAAGCTGTATACACTTGGTTTCTTCATAAAGGATGCTTCAAAGCGAGATTTCTTTACAGTTCTACTTGATTGACTCTGTGCTTGTGGGACGAGAAACCAGATACAGAGCGTCTGCTCTGAATTCTGAAAACGGGGGAAGGGGTTATTTCATTTTCTAGATTACACAACGACGCCCGTCAGTAGCTCAGTATATACTGGCGTCGAATGATCTGATACTTACTTACTTATGGAACTGAGCTCTTCTTGAGGAGAAGTCAGTTGTGCAGCTACTCAAGAATTTCCCAGCATTTTGTGGAACCCGAAGGTTCATTACCGTGTTCTCTGGTCCCTATCTTGAGCCAGATCACTCCAATCCTTTGCATCCCATCCTGTCTCTCTAAGATCCATTTTAATATTGTCCACCCACCTACGCCTCGGTCTTCCCAGTGGTCTCTTTCCTTCTGGTTTTCCCACCAATCCCAGATTCTTTCCCTTTCACCCCATTCGTGCTACATGCCCTGCCCACCGCATCCTCCTTGACTTGGTCATTCTAATTATTGAGTTATCGGAAAGTAGTGAATAATGAAATTGAAAGGACGTGGAAGGAAGCGCCCGTGGCCTGATTTGAGCCACGATGAGCTGAGGAAAACCATGTAGTACTACACAATAGGGACCCGGCCGATATTCGAAATGGGCACCTCCCGAAAGGAAGTCAATAATTTTGCCGCTGAGTTAAGTTCCTTGGTATCTTCTCATATCATTTGTCACTCTAAGTTTTCAATGAGAGAGGACTTCGCTAAGTAACGTAAGAATCAGACATTGTAAGCCTATTCCCAATTACCGACATTGTAAACAAAGAAGACGAGAGGGGCTGGACATGTGGGACGCATGGGAGATCAGAAATTCATTCAAAATTTACATAAAGGAACCTGAAGAACAGGGTGACCCAGTTATACACCCATGCACTGGGTTCCATTTTGTCACCTCCTACGTCTTGCAGGACTATGGTGGAAGTATTCTATCCCACTTCCACACAGGAGTTTCTTTATCAGCCGAACTCCGATCTTCATTACAGAACCTCTGGTCGGATCCAACAGAAAACATAATTTCCATCGTTATATCCCAACAGTACTTCGGTTCTTGCTTACGTATTCTTTGCCTCGGGAACCTGTTTACCAAGTCGTTGCCCAGAAAAGAACGTCTACTCTGGCTCCGCTATTCATGCTTTCAGGCGTTGTGTCAATAGTAAAAGCAATTATCTAAGGCAGTATTTCTGGTTGAAAGTAACAAATGTTGTGTTGGAACCGCAAACCCAATTCGATTTACAATTTTTGAAAAACGACATGAGGGGGAAAGAAGCGATTTATACAATTGCGAAGAAGGGTGGCAGCTGAGTGTATGTGAAGAGATTTGAAGTGAAGACTTGATGGTGGTGGCTGCAGCAGAGGGAGGGGTATGATAGAGAAGGGAAGTGGGGAGCCATTGCGACTGCGGTATCCATTGCTTTAGGGTTGATGTGGAGGGGTAGGGAGTGAGTAGAGAGCGCGGGATTCTCTCTGCTATCAGTAGAGCCAGGGTCGACAGCGGCTGGAGGTTGCGCAGTGTTTCGATCTGCCGTAGCGTTCTTCTTCATCTTAACTTTGAAAACAACAAAGTTATTATATACTCTCTACTTGTAAATAAATGTACGAGTTAGACGTTGTCAGTGATGATGTTAGCGTGTATTTGAATTCGAGTGACATTAGTTTTAAATATAACATTCCAAGTGTTACGTAAATAAACTTAATAACAAGTAGAATTGATATTAAATGTGGTAATTATTATTGTTAGTTTAAAACATTTAATTTTCTGGTAAAGAAAATAATATAAATATCAAAAAGGCAATGACATTTTTCAAATATAAAAATTTATTGTCATTTGAAGAAAGTGGAATATTTTGACCAAGAGAACTTAGTAGTGACCTTTAAATTCTGAATGCTGTATCAATAAAAAGGGGTGGGAGATAGGAAGATACAGGATATTACAACATTTTTAAGTTGAATTAGAATTGTTGGTTATAGTAAAATGTTGCGTGTTAGTGATTTGTGTTAAGTGTCGTGTGTTTAATTGGTGTCGTCATTCAATGCAGAACAGCTTCACATTCACCGAAGGAAAACAGGTGTGTTTACGTCACATAATGTCTTGCATGCGTGTTGTAGATGTTTACAATTGTTTCGTTGCCATTGTGACGTTAAGGAAGAAACAGACGACTCTGTTATCACGTGGCATTGTTTTCAGGCGTAATGGAGACGCGAGACAAAAACTGCCTTCTGTTTTCATCAACAGCTGCGCGTTCCTTTTTTTTTTTTTTTTTAATTTCAACGCAACAAAATTTATATAAGGTTGTCTGTTCGTGGGCACCGAAAAGGGGTGGTGGTAAACCAAGTATATCTCCCCCGCATTTAAAAAAAAAATCTGTTAAAAAAAGAAGGAAATAAGCCAGTTACCGGAAATTAAAATTATTAAAAATGTGCTTTTTACCTTGAAAATTCTAGGGCGATCAATATATTATAGTATTAAACGGCATATATTTAAGATTATAAGCACGTTTCTTTAGTTTCCCTTCCCCTTATTAAACTGGCTCCCCCCCACATTTCAAGAACAAGATTGGGAAACTGCAACCCATGCTGGGTTATATAGGTTTCCATGCGTGTTTCTCGTCAAATACTCACTAGCGGACGCATATCTACTACTCCGTGGCTTTAGCCCGCAAGCGAACTATACCGACCGAGCGACTGCCGCTTGTCGGCGAAGTTGGGGAAGCACATTTGTATGATAAGTTCAAACGAAGTTGTACCTGTGCTCTAATTAAGCTACACACCATGAAAATTTGTAGGGAAATGGAGGTGTAGCTCCACCGTTATTGACCACCGCGGCAATAGATGGAGATGAGTGATTAGTTTCACGCCTCGGCCGCTCTACTTCTTGGGAAAGAACCCTCGTTACACATTGAGTAGGGGTCTGGATGGGCCTCATAACCGATCTGCACGCTCTCAAAAGTCCAGTCTGGTAGCTGTAAGAAGACATGAATCTCTTGCCCCTCCTGGGGTTTGAACTCCCAGCCTTTAGCCTATTCGTTGTACAGACTGATTTAGTCCGGCTTCGATACTTGTGATAGTGTTAATATTTATGGAAAATCCGTTGCCTAACAACTTTCTGAGTCCGGATAACTCAGTCAGTATAACGACTGCTCAAGGGTTGGACGACCGAATAATCGGGATTCGATTCTCAGCAGGGTCACGTGACTATTCTCCATAACATCCAGACCACCTCTGGAGCCCATCCAGCCTCCTGTAAAACTGTTAACGGGGGCTGTTTCCCAGGAGGTAAATCGGCCAGGGCCTGAAGCTGAACACTCACCTCTAACTAGTGTCGAGCTCAAGAGCGGTGGAGCTAACCTCTAACCTTGGGCCGCGCCAAAGCTCAAGCGGTTAGTTGCTGGCTTCTGGTCAAGTGGAATTTGTGGTGGATAAAGTGGCGCTGGGGCAGGTTTTCTCCGAGTACTTCGGTTTCCCCTGCCAATCTTCATTCCACCAATTGCTTCACAATCACCCTCACCCATCATCTGGGGCTGGTACAATAGGCCAGAAGTGGCCGCAGTACAAGGGACTTAGTCCCACCCCACTAGCAATGAAAATAAACCTATCCTTGTCGCTTTCTTATAACATCTGGGCAAGGAGGACTTAGAAAACACAGTTCTTCTATTTTTGCGTTCTTGTTTGTTTCTGCGGGAACATGTTTACTGAGTCGTTGCCTAGTAACGGCTATGCACGCTACAAGTGGGCCTGAGCTGTGAGCTCGAGCAACGGAACCCTACAGCGAGGTATGTCTGTGCTGTGCCCTGGTGATGCGCCCAGCGCAGCGGTATTCGCGCTGTCCTCCGTCAGAGCCACTCGGAATGCTTTGAGTGACTTTATCAAGCAGGACGGAGGGAGAACACGTGTTCGCCGCCTTGTGGTTCCGAACTCGCTCTTCAGTCCTGTTAGGACGTAAAGCGAACAAAAATAAACCAATCTTGTTAAACACGCGGTGAAGGAAAGGCCTCTCCGTCACACCCGCCGATTTATATGCGAGGGTTCACTTTAAACAAAGTGGAAAAGTTTGTTGTAACGACATTTTTAACTATAAACATCTTATCTCTACTTTATGTAGCTCTTTGGCTTTACTTCCAGTCATTGTATGTACAAGCTGTCCTTGTAACAGGCCCTGGAGGCCCATAGGGTTGTAAGACGTCGAGTCTGCCTCATTTTCTCTAGACAGTCGGCTCACAGATGGCGGTGAGGTTGTCAGCCTTACGCGCCGGCCGCACTTTCCTCCCAGGAAGATTCCTGGTACTCATTTCTGTTAGAGGCTGAGTCGACCTCAGGGCCATAGTGCGACCGGAAGGATTAGGTCAACTGAAAAATTCTCCTAATAGGACTAGAACCGCGATCCTTCCTGCTTGTAGCATAGTGCCTCAACCAACTACGCTACTATGTGCCCTCATAGAAAATACTAGCTATAGGTAAAGTCATCTATGGGCTTAATTAATTAAGCATCATACCATGAAAATGTGCGCGTAGTAGCTCAGTCGGTATATTGACTAGGCTAAGGGCTGGACGACTGAGGAATCGGGTTTCGATTACGGGCGGGGCAAGAAAATTTGTTTTCCCTATAACTTCCATTCTTTTCATATAATGAGTACCGGGGGTTGTTTCCCCGGATGTAAAACGGCCGGGGCGTGGATCTGACATATCACGTCCATCTAGTGCCGAAGTTAAGGATGGAAGAATTATAAAATATGGAGGAAATACGTTCCTCCGAAACGTCAGTTAACTTTTACGGGGCTGCAAAGCATCTTCAGGAACATGTAGATGTTTGTTTAGTGGGGATGTAAGACCCAATGCAATTGCTACTGGATTTAGCTGACACACAATTATATATATCATATTAAACTACACGGCGTCACAGTCCACTGTTTGTAATCATCGATGCGAGGGACCTCATATCTAACACTCGGTTATGCCCTTCACAGGCGAGGCTTGTCATTTTCCAGGATTAATTACACGTTGTGATGTGCCTTCAACGTGTTTATGTGGAGCAGTCTCCTGCCATGGACAGCGTGTCCTGCATTGACAGGTAGAGAGGCATTCAATCGAATTATTCTATAATTCCAGTCCGGAACAATAGCCGTTTGAAACCACAAAGTGCACGGAATCCTTTTGCAATGATGTGGCCAGCAGGCAAGTGGGGCAATAAATCTAACAGTTCCATAACTAACTGTATGATGTTGTACGGTTATTGAAACGTTGATAGTCGCTCAGCTTGTCAAGATACTTACGATAATTATAGAGCACAAAACTATAATATTTCCTGTGGTTCTGTATGGATGTGGAACTTGGTCTCTGACATTAAGGGAGGGACATAGACTGAGGGTGTTTGAGAACAGGGTGTTTAGGAGAATATTTGGACCGAAGAGATATGAAGTGACAGGAGGTTGGAGAAAACTGCATAATGAGGAGCTTCATAACTTGTACTCTTCTCCAAGTATAATTAGAATGCTCAAGTCGAGGAGGATGAAATGGGCAGGGCATGTAGCACAAATAAGGGAGATGAATGCATATAGGATATTGGTGGAAAACCCGGAAGGATGGAGACCACAGGGAATACCAAGGCGTATGTGGGTGAACAATATTAAAATGGATCTCATACAGATAGAATGGGATTGTATAGATTAGATTGATCTGGCCCAGGATAGGGACCAGTGGAAGGCTCGGTTCCATAAAATGCTGGGAAGTTCTTCAGTAGCTGCACAATTGGCGGCTTCTCAAGAAGGGCTCAGCTCCATGAGTAAGTGATAGAGCACAGAAGATCGATTATCGTGAACAAGATATAAAAGCTTGTGCCAATGGAACAATTAGGGATTCTAAAGCGTTCTGACGCTGTTGTGTAATGCACAGAAGTACTGGGTTTTGGGACTTTTCCCATCGCCCGGTATTCTAGAAGATAGGAAACGTAATTTTTTCTATTTTCTACAAATATTTTGTTTCTGGACATTATTCATCATCCTGTTTTTATCTAAAACAAACGTTTCGGAGACTGGATTTTGTTTCCGTCCGTAGATAGGGACTAGCTCCATCGATTGGGTTCAAATGAGTAGGTTTTACCTGAAGACGGAGACAGAATTCAGAATCCGAAACTTTGTGTTTCTAAATAAAAACAGGATTATGGATAATGTCCAGAAACATAATATTAGTGGATTCATTATCGTCTTTAAAAAAAGCTGATTATTCGGTTGTATCCTGAGTCATTAGGATCGACTCCGCATCTAGACACAGAAGAAATATATTTGAAGAGCACTGTCTTCTGAGATATAATGCTGTGCAGTCCGTTGAAAGTCAACCGACGTTTCGGAGGAACGTATCATCTCGATTTTTAGGGTCGAATAAGCAAGATACCAGCATGAAAACACCCTGAAGATGGAGGTGATGTGTAGCATAGTGCCTCAAGAAACTACGCTACCGCGTGCCCCTAATTAATTAAGCACAAGGACAAATTTGCTTTTTTATTTATGTGCTTTTTGCATATTTTTATATGTATACACATCTCAGTGTGATTATGTAGTGACGGGAACTTGTAACCACATGTACAGGAATGAAGCTTCTGGCACGGTGTAATACTATTCATTATGGTGCTTTAACCCAGAGAAGCGTAATATGAACATTATTTTTCAGTGTACAGATTAATTTTTAGCCTCATACGTAATTATATATAGGAATGGAGAGCGGTGAAATGAGTATTGTAACATGTAGACTTGTTGCTGGGCAAAAACCAAGAGATAAGCAAATATACAACAGCCGTTACTGAGTAACGGCTTCGCACACATATTCCCGCGGCATCAATTGAACCACAACAATGAAGAACAGTGTTTTCTGTGTGGTCCGTGCCGAGATGTTATAAGCGGGACAAGTTGGGAGCTGCAGTCATTCATTGGAGTGGAGTCTGTTGATGAGTGACTTAGTCTTGAGTTGCTTTAGCTGAGGCCTAGAACATTTCGGGAAACCAGAGTATTGGGAACTTCCTGCCGTTGGAAGCCACTACCGAACAACGGCTAGTGAAGACTGAGAAGACTTTATGTGT